GACAGAGGGGTTTTCTTCCCCGCCTGCCCAACTCCTTTGGGTCCTCCAGCTGCCGCTCAGCAGGAGCCTCTGGGGACAAAGAAGGGTTCAAGCCCCCTCCCCCTCAAAAAAATAAAATAAAATAAAAGGAACCAGACAGAGCCTGGAGATGAACTGTGACTGCCCCCCCTCCTACTCTGAGAAGCAGTTGTGCAAAGTTCACACAACCCCTCTCTTGCATGGCTGTCCCCTCCCCTCGCCCCTCCCCACTGCAACTGTGGAGACAAAGTGAGGGCCTCTGACCGGGCTCGCGTCCTGCGTGGGCCTTGTTTTTCCCTGCCCAGTCCTAGAAGGACATGAGGGGTGTCGTATATGGCCTGTTCCCAGCAGCCTTAGACGTGGCCCTTGCTTGTGTGGCCTGGTGTGTATCTGGGGGTGGGTGGGGTGTGGGATTGGGGGTTTTTTGCTCTAGCACAACCAGAATTTCCTGCCGGAAACTTAAGAGTTGATATTACTTCTTCACTGCCGAGATGTGCGTTCAATAAACATTTATCTCTTATGGCGCCTCAAGGCCGTAGAGTTTCTTTAAGGTTGAATTCACCAGCCGGAGGGTTGACATGATAATAATAATAAATAATAATAATAATAATAATAACAACAACAACAACAACAACAAACAACAACAACAAAACAACAATAAAATAATAATAATGATGATGATGATGATGATGATGATGATGATGATGATGATGATGATGATGATGATGATGATGTTGGAAGGGACCTTAGAGGTCATCTAGACCTTCCCCCTGCTCAGGCAGGAAACCCTACACCATTTTAGACAAATGGCTGTCCAGTCTCTTCTTAAAAACTTCCAGTGTTGGAGCATTCACCGCTTCTGGAGGCAGGTTGTTCCACTGGGTAATGGTTCTAACTGTCAGGAAGTTTCTCCTTAGTTCTAGGTTGCTTCCCTCCTTGATGAGTTTCCATCCGTTGCTTCTCGTCCTGCCTTCAGGGGCTTTGGAGAACAGCTTGACTCCCTCTTCTTTGGGGCAGCCCCTGAGATACTGGAAGGCTGCTATCAAGTCCCCCCTCGTCCTTCTCTTCCTTAAACTAGACATCCCCAATTCCAGCAACCGTTCCTTATATGTTTTAGCCTGCAGTCCCTTGATCATCTTTGTGGCTCTTCTCTGTACTCCTGTAGGTCCTTTAGATCAGGGGTCCCCAACCCCTGCCCCGTGGACTGCTACTGGGCCGCGGCATGCCAGCAACTGGTCCACACAAACAAGCAAAGCCCCATCCGCGGGATGCAGGCAGCACACAAAACCACGCACCCTCCGGTCCGCGGAAAAACCTTCCTCCACGGAACTGGTCCCTGGTACCCAAAAGGTTGGGGACCTGTGAGCTAGATGCTGGGGTGGCCTGCAGGGGACAGCTGAGCACCTCCACATCTTCCTCATCCTTTAGCAATTAGCTACAGGTTGGGAGGAGATCATGCTGGCCACAGAACCGCTGGGCACAACCCTTCTTTTTGAGGTTTTGCTTCTTCTTAGAAAAGCTGGCGTGTTTGTGTGTCTTGTGTTTCTGTTGTCTCCTGCCCTGCACTCAGAGAGACCCCTGCCCTTTGCCCTTTCTCTAAATATGCCCTAAATCTGGGCTCTGACAGGCCTCGGAGAAATCATTGCAGCAAATGGCATCTGCAGGGTGTCCTTTTCAACCACCACCACCCCTTTCTCACAAAGCAGGACACACACCCCTCCCTCTGCGCTTGCCTTTTCCTTGAAAAAGTGCTGAGATGCACCATCCAAGGTCAAAAGAGAAGCCTGTTATGATGTTAGCAGGCTGCATGATGGGTGCCGCCCCCCCCCTCCTCTCCCATTTTCGCCTGTGTTTCTGACTTGAAAGAGAGGTGGATCACTACTACTGCTTCTCAACGGCCCTCAAGCCAACAGATGTTGACCTCTGTCAGTAGGGGAAACCCGCATCCAGTGTTCCAGTATCTAAGGGACATCCACAAAGGAGAGGGGGTCAAATAACCTGAAGGCAGAACAAGAAGCAATGAATGGAAACTAACCAAGGAGAGAAGCAACCTGGAATTAAAGAGAAATTTCTCCTTCCCCATCCCCTTCCTCTTCCCTTTCTCCTCTCCTTCTTCTCCTTCCCATCCCCTTCCCCATCTCCTTCTTCTTTCCCTTCTCTTTCCCATCCCCATCTCCTCCTCCTCCTCCTTCCCATCCCCTTCCCCATCTCCTTCTTCTTCTTCTCCTCCCCCTTCCCATTCTCCTTCCCTTCCCCTTCCCCATCTCCTTTTTCTTCTCTTTCTCCTTCTCCTTCTCCTTCCCCATCCCCTTCCTCTTCCCTTCCCCATCTCCTCCTCCTCCTCCTCCTTCTTCTCCTTTCCCTTCTATTTCCCCATCCCCTCCTCCTCCTCCTCCTTCTCATCCTCCTCCTCCTCCTCCTCCTCCTCCTTCCCCATCCTCTTCTTCTTCTTCTTCTTCTTCTTCTTCTTCTTCTTCTTCTTCTTCTTCTTCTTCTTCTTCTTCTTCTTCTTCTTCTTCTTCTTCTTCTTCTTCTTCTTCTTCTTCTTCTTCTTCTTCCCATCTCCTCCTCCTCCTTCTTCTCCTTCACCTTCCCATCCCCTTCCCCATCTCCTTCTTCTCCCCCTTCCCATTCTTCTTCCCTTCCCTTCCCTTCCCCATCTCCTTTTTCTTTTTCTTTTTCTTCTCCTTCCCCTTCCCCTTCTCCTTCTCCTCTTTCTGTGGAACAACTTGCCTGCAGAAGATGTGGTAACTCCAACACTGGAGGTTTTTAAGAAGAGACTGGACGGCCCTTTGTCTGAAATGGCATAGGGTCTCCTGCCTGAGCAGGGGGTTGGACTAGATGACCTCCAGGGCCCCTTCCCACTCTATTCTAAGTTGCAGGGATTATGTCTAGTTTAATGGAAAAAAGAACTAGGGGTGACATGATAGCTGTTTTCCAAAATTTGAGGGGCTGCCCCAAAGAAGGGGGGGGGTCAAGCTATTCTCCAAAGCCCCTGAAGGCAGGACAAGAAGCAATGGATGGAAACTAATCAAGGAGAGAAGCAACCTGGAACTAAGGAGAAACTTCCTGACAGTCAGAACAATTAACCAGGGGAACAACCTGCCTCCAGAAGCGGTGAATGCTCCAACACTGGAAGTTTTTAAGAAGAAACTGGACAGCCATTTGTCCGAAATGGTATAGGGTTTCCTGCCTGAGCAGGGGGAAGGTCTAGAAGATCTCCAAGGTCCCTGCCAACGGATGGAAACTCACCAAAGAGAGAAGCAACTTAGAACTAAGAAGAAACTTCCTGACAGTGAGGACAATTAATCAGTGGAACAGCCTGCCTCCAGAAGTTGTGTTTGCTTCATCCTTGGAGCTTTTCAAAAAGAGACTGGACAGCCATTTGTCTGGGATGGTATATAGGGTCTCCTGCCTGAGCAGGGGGTTGGACTAGAAGACCTCCAAGGTCCCTTTCAACTCTGTTGTTATTGTTGCTGTTGTTGTATTATGTTGTTGCTGTTGCTCTTGCTGTTATTATTGTTATTAATTGTTATTATTAATGATTAATTCCCTGATCTGCTGATTTTCTGCTTGCAGGTTCCCCTTCTCTGCTATCAGCCTGAAGTGACCCCATCCGGCTTCAGCTGCGCAGATAGCATCCCGTGACCAAAATGTCCTTTTCATGACAAAGGACAGTCCTTTATTTCAGAAAGATGCCCTTGATTAGAGGAAAAAATGCACGCTGGTGTCGTTTTTCTCGGTTTGGCTCTTGAATTTTCCTTCGCAAAGCAAAATTATGAACACAAGCAATTCAGGGGTTTCCCCCCCCCTCCATCCTTGCCAACCTCTTTTCTCCTTTTTCAGGGTATTCCTTTATTTTTTTTCAGAGTATGCTCTCCGTCCCTGTATACAGGTAGTCCTCGGCTTAACGACTATCCGTTCAGTGACCGTTCAAACTTACAACCGCCCTAAAAAAAGTTTTGACTATTGACGACCTTTTTTCAACACTTACCAACCTTGCAGCGTCCCCGGGATCAAAATTCGGACTCCACATGGCAACTGACTCACACTTATGACGGTTGCAGCATCCTGGGGTCCTCGTAATTTCGCCCCTCCCCTTTTGGCGACCTTCTGATAAGCGAAGTAAAGCAGGATCCGCTTAACGACCTTGCTGCTAATTTAACCACCGTAGTGAATTCACTTAGCAACCAAGGCAGGCAAAAATTCACTTTTGTTAAAAACTCACTTAGCAAGCGTCTCGCTTAGCGACAGAAGGGCCGCCATTTTTAATCAGAAGGAAAACCAGCAGATGCCACACGAGTGTGTACGCGTGTATGTGGGTCTCTCCCTCTCTCGCGGCCCCAGAATCTCCAGTTCCCCTCTTTGCATGAAGAAATCAAGGTTTTAAAGCTCATGTAAAGGTTTTTTTTTTAAACTGCAGGATCGCTTCTGATCTGCTTATGCAGGGCAATCTCCAGGCAGTCCTCGAACTTACGACGCACGAGCAATTTCCACCGCTAAGCCAGGCAGCTGTTGAGTCAGTCGCGCTCAATTTTACAACCCTTTCTCGCCCTGTCTGTTTAAGTGACCCCCTGCCGTTGTTAATCGAAACGTGCCGTCGTTAAGCGAATCCAGCTTAATCCCCCCCCCACTGACTTTGCTTGCCAGAGGCCCAGCTGGGACGGTCACAAAATGGGGATCTCAGGACCCCGGGATGCTGGGACCCGCTTAAATAACCCGCTCGGTTCCCAAGCGCCCGAATTTTGATTACGTCGGGATGCTGTGACGGTCGTAAACGCGAGGCCTGGTTGTCAGCTGCTTTTTTTCTCTCCAAGTGATGTCTTGGTCGCTAAATGAACAGTTTGCAAGTTGGGGACTCGCTCTACGGAGTGAGTGCACAGGTGACCCCCCCCCTTGGCCAGCCCAGTCTGGGACCCCTTGCCCTCTCCCCTTGCCCCAATGAGGATGCCGGGGTTGTGTGTGCGTCTCCGTTTACTCACCGTCCTCCTGGCTGTGGATATTTGGGGGGCTGCGCATGGTTCCCTCTTGAGGGGGGCTGAGGCTGGCCTGGAGCTGCTGATCAGTTGACATCCATGTGGAGTCATTCATGTCAAACTCCTCGCTGCTGCTCACCGAGGTCTCATCCTGGAAGGGGAGAGAAGGAAGGGTTAAACGGAAGCCAAGACAGGGAGGGGGGTTGGTGGGAAGGATGGAGACCCCTGCTCTTCTTCCTCCTTTCTCCCCCCCCCCACCAGCAGCTCTCCTTCCCCCTCCCCTTTTTTCCAAATCTCAGCTCAGGGACTCTTTCCCGACGACGCAAAGAGAAGGAAACACGCAGAACAGAACAATAATTAAGGGGAAACTGAGATTGTTATTACTCTCTGCCACGCCTCTCCATCCGGGCATCCTGGCCAGCCCAGCTAGCTGGGCTAAGGGGCCAGAAGGAGAGAAGGGAAGGGTGGGCACAGACCCCCCCCCACAATCCTGCAAGAGTTCAAGCCGTGGTGCTCTTTTATCCCGTTTGCCCTCTGCATGATCCCAGGAGGCAGGTGAGCAACCTGCCACCGCAGGGGGGGTCACCTGAGCGCCTCCCTCCTCGGAGGCAGGTGAGCCTTCGCTCCTCCGCTCGGCATCCATTTGCTGGGGGCAGACACCCAAAGCGTGGGAGAGATTCTCTGCTCCGGGAAAGCCGTAAAGATATACGAGCCGGGAAGATGGCTGCTTTAGGCCTGGCTGGGCCGCCAAATATCAATAATCAGATTAAAAAACAGAACAGCAGAGAAAGGAGAGGGAGGAGAGAAAGAGAGGGGAGAAAGAGAGAGAGAGGAAAAAAAAGGATAAAGGAAGAGGAAAGATAAGAAAGAGAGAGGAGAGAAAGAGAAGGAGCAGAGAATTAGATAAATAAAAAAGAAAGAAAGAAAGAAAGAAGAAAGAAAAGAAGAAAGAAAGAAAGAGGAAGGAAGGAAGGAAGGAGAGAATTAGACAAATAGAGAGAAAAATAAAGAGAGGGAGAGAGGAAAGATAAGAAAGAGAGAGGAGAAAAAGAGAAGGAGCAGAGAATTAGATAAATAAAAAGAAAGAAAGAAAGAAAGAAAAAGGAACGAAGGAAGAAAGGAAGAAAGAAAGGAAGGAAGGAAGGAAGGAAGGAAGGAAGGAAAGAAGGAAGGAAGGAAGGAAGAGCAGAGAATTAGAAAAATAAAGAGGGAGAGAGAAAAACAGAGGAGAGAAATAGAGAGAGAGAACAGATAGAAAGAGAGGGAAATAGAACTATCTAAAGGAAGCAAGGAAAGAAGGAAGGAAGAGAAAGGAAGGAAGGAAGAAAAAGAAAGCAGAGAACTAGACAAATAGAGAGAAAAATAAAGAGAGGGAGAGAGAAAGAGATAAACAGAGGAGAGAAATAGAGAGAGAGAACAGACAGAGAGAAAAATAGAGAGAACTATCTAAAGAGAGAAAAAAGATAACAAAAGAGAGGAAGAGAAAGAGATAGAGAAAGAAAGACGGAGAAAGAAATAGAGAAAGAGAGAAAGAAAGAGAAAGAGAGAACTAGCTAGAGAGAGAGAAAAAAAAGAAAAAGAGAGAGAGAGAAAGAGAGAAAGGGGCTGGCACCTGACCAGTTAACAATAATAATAAAAAGGAACAGAATTGTCTACAAAAGGTGCACCATAACAGCCTTTGCACCCTTTCCTGTTTGCACCTTCATCCCTCCAGCCAGGTAATCACTCAGCTTGCTAAAAAAGCAAACAAATAAAATTTAAAAAAAAAAAAAACACCCTAAAAATAAAATCCCCAGTGGCCCCAAATCAGCCAAATTTGGCCTCCCCGAATTTCACCGGGGCAAAATGGCTCTCTCCAGCAGGGAGCAGCCAGTCAGCCCCCCCCCCCCCCGGTCAACCAAGGGCCGTCCGTCCAGCCAGAGCCCTTTTCATGCGTCCTCAGCCGGATCAGCCCCCACTGAGCATCTCGCCGGGGGAGCAAAAGCGCCACGGCACGTCACGGCGCGGCTGACCACGGAAATGCCAGGCGCCGGGGAAGCAGCGGCGAAAGGAGAGAAAATTTAAAAATGCAGGCGAACGCGGCGGCCCTGAAGATGCTGCTAGCAGCCGACTTGACAAATTGTTTTCACTGACGGGTTGCAGTCGTAGCCGATGCTGGTCGCAACGGTTCCGAAGGTTGATCGCCACGAAGAAAGGATGTTAATAAGATGATTTAAAGGCCTGGAGACTGAAACATAGAAAGAACGAAGAACGGGCTGCAGGGATTGGGCTTGTCTGGTCCAGGGAAAAGAAGGACCAAGGGTGACAGGAGAGCAGCCTTCCAATATTTGAGGGGCTGCCACAGGGTTAGAGGGGGTCAACCTGTTCTCCAAAGCACCGGAAGGCAAAAGGAACAAGGGTTGGAAACAGATCGAGGAGAGAAGCAACCTGGAATTAAGCAGAAACTTCCTAACAGTGAGGGACAATTAACCAGTGGAACAGCTTGCCACCGGAAATCGTGGGCGCTCCAGCACTGGAGATTTTTAAGAAGAGACTGGACAGTCACTTGTCTGAGATGGCATAGGGTCTCCTGCTTGAGCGGGGGGCTGGACTAGAAAACCTCCAAGGTCCCTTCCAGCTCTCTTCTGATTGATTGATTGAAATGGTCTAGGGTCTCCTGCTTGAGCAGGGGGCTGGACTAGAAGACCTCCCAGGTCCCTTCCAGCTCCGTTCTGACTTCCCAGAGAGGACAGGATGCTGGAGGCAGCTTCCACGCTAAGGGCAGGAGGAATTTGATCCCACCGGGTCCTCTTCAGAAACCCGATCAAGCTGTTGTTAGTCCACAAGCCCCGCCTCATGCACCAATGAATCGGTTCCTCCAGATTCTGCTGCTCTTATGGGCTTTCCCACAAACCCCCTCACTTCCCTGAGCTGGGATCTGGGGTAGTGACATGCCCAGGGTGACCCCCCCCGAGTGAAACTCAGGTCAGCCTCGCCAAGGGGCAAAGCGGGTGCAGAAACGGGTCACTTTCAGCATATAATAATAATAATAATAATAATAATAATAATAATAATAATAATAATAATAATAGTAATAGTAATAATAATAATAACAATAACAACAGCATAATACAACAAAACAACAACAATAATAATAATATTAATAATAAAAGTTGGAAGGGACCTTGGAGGTCATCTAGTTTAACCTCCTGCTCAGGCAGGAAACCCTATACCATTTCAGACAAACGGCTGTCCAGTCTCTTCTTAAAAACCTCCAGTGTTGGAGCACCCACAACTTCTGAAGGCAAGCCATTCCACTAAATAACAGAATAACAGAATTGGAAGGGACCTTGGAGGTCATATAGTCCAACCCCCTGCTCAGGCAGGAAACCCTATACCATTCCGGACAAACGGCCGTCCAGTCTCTTCTTAAAAACTTCCAGTGTTGGAGCATGCGGGGGGGGGGAGAGGGGGGATGTCTGGGCGATTCCGGGAATTTATTTACAAGTGGTCCCCGACTTACAGCAGTTCGTTTAGTGACCATTTTTCACACTTACGACCGTGGTAGCATCCCCGGGGTCTCGCAGTCAAAATTCAGTCGCTTGGCAACCGACTCGTCTTCACGACGGTCGCCGTGTTCCCCGGGGTGTGTGTGTCACAGGATCCCCTTTTGCGACCTTCTAACCAGCAAAGTTCGTGGCAAGTAATGTCGTAAAATGGAATAAAACTCACTTTGCCACTGTCTCGCTTTCTGACGGAAATTTTTGGCTCGTAAGCGGAGGACTACCTGCATTTATTTATTCAGCTTCCGCAGCCGCCCAACTCAACCAAGTAAATCCGGGCGACTTACAAGGCCAAGATTTTAAAACAATTAAAAAATACAAAACATTAAAGCAATATAAACACCCGCCTCCCCCAGGCCTGTGCCCACACCCAAATCCTCGCACCTGGCACCTGCACCTGGCGGCGTCTGATGCTGCCAAAGGCACTCTTGTATCCTCCCAAACAGGTTTGCACATTCTCAGAGGGCGCCCTTAAGAGAATAACCGAATAACAGAGTTGGAAGGGACCTGGGAGATCTTCCAGTCCAACCCCCTGCTCAAGCAGGAGAACCTACACCATCTCAGACAAGTGGCTGTCCAGTCTCTTCTTCAAAACCTCCAGCCTTGGAGCACCCACAACCTCTGGTGGCAAGCAGTTCCACTGGTTAACTGTCCTCACTGTTAGGAAGCTCCAGGTTGCTTCTCTCCTCCAGGCGTTTCCATCCGTCGCTTCTTCTCCTGCCTTCTGGTGCTTCGGAGAAAAGGCGGAACACCCCCCCCCCTCTTCTTTGGGGCAGCCCCTCAAATATTGGGAAGGCCGCTATCACGTCCCCCACTAGTCCCCCACAACAAAGCCGAGGGTGGAAAGCCTCCTCGCACCCATGGCCGGAGGAGCAGGGCGTGTGTGTGTTAAAAGCAGCCAAAAAGGCCGGGCGGTTTGTCACACGAGACTCCAGCCAGGGTGCGACAGGGCAAACCGTAGGAAGGAGATCGGCCGCATGCGCACCGGGGTGGTGGTGGTGGAACGAGAGCCCTCTTGCCTCCCTCTCGCGCCGAGCTTAATTCGGCTTCGGCTCCTCGCTCAGGGCCACGGCGGCCAGCAGGTGACCTCGGGCTGGTGCCGA